GGGTTTAGGGGTTAGGATTTGGGGGTTTAGGATTTAGGGGTTAATATTTGCGGGGGCGGGTTTAGGGGTTTAGGGTTTAGGGTTTGCAGGGGTGCAGGGGTTTAGGGGGTTAGGGGTTTAGGGTTCAGGGTTTAAGGGTTGAGGGTTTAGGATTTAGGGATAATGGTTTAGTAGTTTAGGGGTTAGGATTTGGGAGTTTAGAGGTTTAGGGCTTAGGATTTGGGGGTTGAGGGTTTAGGGGTTTTGGGTTTAGGGGTTTTGGGTGTAGGGCTTGGGGGTTAGAGGTTTAGGGGCTTAGGGGTTAAGGGTGTAGGGTTCAGGGGTTAGGATTTGGGGGTTTAGAGGTTTAGGGGTTTAGGGGTTTAGTGTTTAGGGGTTAGGATTTGGGGGTTTAGAGGTTTGGGGGTTAAGTGTTAGGACTTGGAGGTTTAGGGGTTGAGGGGTTTTTAGGTCTTGGAGGGTCTTGGAGGTTTAGGCACACACTTGCAAGTCAACATGTCCGACGGTGCCGTGTAACACACCCATTAGGGGTTTAGCGGTGAGTGTTTGGGGTTTGACATTTTCTTTTTGCTCGAGTAGATGGCACGGGCTCACCAATCAATGCCATGGTCCTCGAAGTAACGTCATGCCGATACCCAGCTCATGTGCGCACCCAAGATTCCTTAAACTCTAAACTCTAAACCCTAAGATCAAGGGCTTTAGGACTATAGGCTTGAAGCCGTAGGGTCTGCGCAACCAACAGATATCACGTCGTCGAGTTGCAGACTCGACATCGCCTCTCGTTGCGCTGCACTTGATGAGCGTGGAATACGTCCTCGGCTTCTGGCGCACAGCTGTTTTGGCTTTGGGCGATTCAGGGGTTTGAGGTTGAACGATTTCATCCGAAACGAAGACGCAGAACTTAGAAGGTCATTGAGCTCCTAAACCCTAATTAAACCCTAAACCCCTAGACCCTAAACGAGCTGGATGGACTAGCGACTTGGGGGGTCGGAAAACATGCTTTCCTCAGGCTCAGCGTAGCACCGAACCAGGTAGCGATTGAAGCTAGAGTGGGCCCTACGACGTAGCTCGCACCGCTACACCCAAACCTCTCCCTGAAACCCTAAACCCTGACCCTAAGCCCTATAGTCCTAAACTTCAACCCTGCGCGGTTGAATTGACCATGGGTACAGCCCAGTCTCAGGTTAACAGACGCATGCGACTCTACAACTCAACGACACCCCCTAAACCCTAAACCCTCAACCCTAAACTCTAAATCCTAAACCCTCAACCCTAAACTCTAAACTCTAAACCATCCTTTAGACAGCGGGAAGCACCACCCGAAGCCTAGCCTTCACCCCCAGGATCTTCTCGAGTTCGGGCTCTCCTGGTTCGGGGTTTATTTGGGGTTTAGGGTTTAGGGTTTAGGACTTTTTTCAGGGTTTGGGGTTTAGGGGGATCTTTAGGATTTAGGGGATGGGATTGTGTGGGTTTAGGGGGATCTTTAGGATTTAGGGGATAGGATTTAAGGTTTAGGGTTGACTACAAGTCTTTGGATCTGGTCTGGAGCCCGATTTCGCTCTAAGCTCACTTGCTTCGCAAGAGTCGCCGTCGTGGGTGTAACCCCCTGCTGCTGCATTTCATGCCTGAGATGACTCGTTCGGGAGGCCAGGTTCATGGTGCCTAGAAAGGGATGTAGAGGATGACAGTTATAAGTACAGCTAACCTATCCAATAGGGGCCTTGATAATTAAGCTGAGACTTGGGGATGAGGTATACCATAAGCAAAACGAGAATTGATCAGCTTCTGAATGGGGCTTAAAGGCTGCGGTGGGAAGTTTGACTTGGCGGTTCCAGACCCTCACAAGCCCCCCAAAAAAAACAAACGCCCAAAGCCTGAAACCTTAAAGCTGCCCCTAAGCCCCTGAACCCTAAACGCCACAAAATTCTAGTTTAGGCTTGTTTTTTTGGTCCAACGCCTGAAACCCTAAACCCTATAAACCTTAAAGCCTCAAGCAGAAAGGCTCGTAGGTCTCGAGCTGAGGAGATGAACAGTTGCATCTGGAGGTCGTCCGGCCATTGCTGTTTCCACATTTTTTATGCTACTACTACTACTACTACTACTACTACTACTACTACTACGACTACGACTACGACTACGACTACGACTACTACTACCACTACCACTACCACTACCACTACTACTTCCAGTACTTTTTTCTATAACTGCTACCTAGGGGTTCCCGAAACCCCTAGGAATGGAAAGAGGCTTGACTGAGGGCTTGGGCTCCTAGGGCTGCTGGAGACTTCCTATGCGTCTGTGTGTGTAGACTTCGGGGCTGAGTACCTCAGCCCCCCCCAAAAAGGTTAACCTTTTGAGTTATAGTAGAGCAGTATAAGCCCCGAAAGGCTAAAGATTACCTACTCAGCCCCTGAGTATATAACATAAAAACAGAGAGAGAGAGAGAGAGAGATATATATATATATATATATGTGTGTGTGTAATCAGAATAAAGAGCCCTAAGAATTATGTTAGTAAGTCTTAGCCCTCAAGTTTTCACCTTACCAGACGAGCCACACATCCTCAACGTTTGCTTCCGCAGCATTCTGTTCTGGGCTTGGGTATGACGCCGTTCTTGCAGTGCGTTGGGGGCTTCGGGGTTTATGGTTCGGGTTTTGTCGGACAAGCCACAAATGTCTCTGGCACTCCTCTTCGTTGCCTGCATCGGCATATGCATTGATGATGCAACTGTAACCTGCAGTTGGCAAAGCTTCGGTTGCAAGCCAAAGGGAGAAGGGTTAACGTTTCTGTAGCCCAAACTATCACTCCTACGTTCCAAGACTCCAAGCCCCTCAAGGGAATGTCGGTGGATTTACGCTGGGGGGTTGACGGTGTTCATGTGGTAGAGTTTATAGTGTGTGCGAGAGGGGTGGTATCACCTCCTTAAATCCCAAGCCCCAAAGCCTAAATGCTTCATGGTGCTCCTATCAACCTGGCCTGAACCAAATGTTTGACGGCTTCGGTTCGGCATATTTAGGAAAATGCATTAAGTCCCTCCGTCGTTTCGTGATCCTAACTTCGAGCCGTTTCGATTGATAGACCTTCCTGCTGTCACTCTCGTGGGCTCGGAGTGGGGGCTTTGGGTTTAGGATTTTGGGTTTAGGGTTTAGGAATTGAGGCCCTAAACCCTCAACCCCAAACCGTGTGCCCAGGAAGGGCCCCGACTCGACTGGAAAAGCAACCACCAGAAAGACAAGCAACTTAGCTCATTCGGCGCCACCTTCTTCTCGATCATCGCCCGCAGGACCTTTAATTTAGGGGCCTTAATGGATCAGACCATGGTTCCGGGGTACATTATACTGTACTTAAAACAGGGAGCCCCAATGATGTGCTCCGAACCCATGTGAGGCTCGCTTCAGACTGCAGAGGTTGAAGGAAGTGCTACGACAATGTCGGACTAGAACTGGATATGATGCAACCTACCTTCATCCCGCCCTAAGCCCCCAAAGTCGGTACTATAATGGCCCAACACTCATAGACACATGGACGTCGGGTATGCCTCTGAATTCTTGAGGGCTAGAAGCACTTTGTCGCATACTTTTGGGGCTCAGGACCCTCCGAGGCCATAAACAAACCCATGGGTCCTGACAAGCTTTGAAGGCCGGAGGGCTTCAAGTTGCTACATGCAGGAGCCTAAATAAAGAAGAGGGGTTTGGCCTCCGTTGTAGTAGAAATAGGTTATGAATATGTACCAGTTATACAAAGGAACCCTAAACCCCTGAGGAGGAATACTGGTTAAAGCTTCCATATTCTAAACCCCAAACCCTTAACCCAAAGCCCCTGAACCCTAAACCCCAAAACCCTAAAGAGCCTGCCCACAAAAAGGTGCTGCGGCTGCACCGGGCGTTCGACGACCGGACCGCCGCCGACCTTCCAGGAGACTTTTTGGTCGTCTCACTCTCTCTCTCTCTCTATATATATATATAATAGGTTTGGGGTTTAGAGTATATGTTGGAATTTATATACCATACTTTATATCTTCGATGCTTGAAGTTATGATGTTTGAATTTGGGCCCGTGTGCATCAGCTGCTGTGCCCAACACAGGGGCCTTGATTTCAATAAGGTTTTGAGGTATATTCTGGTATACTTATGGGAGCCCCGAAGAACAGCATTGGTAATCCTTTACGGCTTCTATATCAAGGGACGGTGGCCTTACGATGCTTGCCATGCTATCTTGTCCACAAGCATTCCCTGGGCGCTGAAGAGGATGCCAGAAGGCCCCAAAATCCCAAACCCTAAACTACCCTAAACCCTAAAGCCCTAAGCCCTAAAATCCCAAGCCCTAAAGCCTAAACCGTAAGCCCCAAAATCCCAAACCCTGAACTCCAAACTTTGGCCCTACATTGGCCCTCCATCCTCAACCCTCTCTTTGGGCAAGGGTTGGGGGCCGAGGGCCTTCGGAAGCAGGCTCGGTGTGGCTTTAGGGTTTAGGGTTTTGGGGGTTTAGGGTTCTGGGGTTTATAGGGTTCAGAGGTTTAGGGTTTAGGGGTTTAGGGTTGTGGGGTTTAGCGTTCAGAGGTTTAGGGTTGAGGGGTTTAGGGTTTTGGGGTTTATAGGGTTCAGGGGCTTCGGGTTTGGGGGTTTACAAGCATGGTGTTGCTACCTGCAGGGCATTGCAGAAGGTTTCTTGGGCGGTTGGCCGATAATCCTGGACTCTTTTCAGGCTGGTTTTGGCATGTGCACAGTACATCTGCAGAAAAGGGTACCGGGGTACCTGCTGCACTTATCGGTTCCACAACGGATCTTTCACAAATCGCTGCAGCCAATCCTTGCAAGAGGGTTTAGACTTCACTGTATAGCTCATGTGGCGACCGTTATCATGCCCACTATACGCACCATTGCAAGAGCAGAGCGAGGGATAATATAGGGGCCTTAATAACCAGAATAGGGTTTTGGGGCCCATTATGCTATAACTATAATAAGGACCCCCCCCCCTCCCAAAAAACTAGAAGACGAGTGGCCCGAAAGCATCATTAGCCATGAGTTTTGGGGCCATGAGTGTCGGCTATAGAGAGTCTATAGAGAGTCTATAGAGAGTGTCGTAGAGTCAAGTGTGGTAAAGTCAAGTGTC